GTCTTGTCTGGTGGCAGGGTCTCTTGCATTGGCCAATTCCTTTTTCCTAAAACTCTGCCCACGGGTAGTTCATGGCGTCCCGCTGGTAGACAACCCAAAGAGGACGACGAAAACGCAAAAACCGGAAAACGTGCCAGTAAAGTGTCTGAGAAGGTTTGAAAGTTGTCAAAAGGTTTTTGGTTTCGTTTTCGCACATGATGTGGCACTGTTCAGTCATAATTCGATCTCAGTAGGCCCTGCGGCATTCGATCAGCAATCTCATGCAAGACACGTAAGCTAGTGGGAGTCAGAGAGAAAGTCACAAGAAGGACAGGAGAAGTCAGTGGGGGTCCTCCCAGATCTGGGTCTATGCACACGCAGCGCCCTCGGGATCACACCACAGCCCTCAGTGGGACTCTGTGGCGATACACACTTTTAACGTTGCTCGCAAGAGCTCAGTTGATGAAGTTACCCCTTTACACTCATTAGCTCTTGACTCGATGGAGCGGAAAGATGCTGGAACCGAAAGGCGATGGAGTCCGCGAATTTGAAGGTGTTTGAACAATTGGTTTCATCGCATTAGGCCTTTACGAAGTCTTAAAAAGTTGCAGGTACACACTCAGGCGTCCCCGAGTGGTTCCACCAGTCTTCTATAGCTTCGTTGGGCAACGTAACAAAAATTAAAGTCGCCCCCCTGCAACATCTCTGCATTAAACTCGAGGTGTGTTACGGCGTGCAAACTCCTTAGACACAGGTGTGGACACACACACACACATATATGTATATATGTATACGCAACCCCCCCCCAAAAAAAAAAAAACACGCACCTGCTCTTGAATGATCTCGACTAAAGTTCCAAAGTTCCAAAACTGCACAAATTTATGTCCCCAGAGTGGCTATGGTCAGGTCATGGGTCTACAGTTTTGGAACTTTGGAACTTTGGGGGGGCTGCCAAAGTTCCAAAACTGAACAAACCTATGTCCCCAGAGTGGCTATGGTCAGGGCATGGGGTCTGCAGTTTGGTTTTTTTGGAACTTTGGAACTTTAAGGAGCCTCCAAAGGAACAAAACTGCACCACCCTATGTCCCCAGGGTGGCTATGGTCAGGGCATGCGGTCTGGGGGGCCCCCAAAAGTTCCAAAGTTCAAAAAATGCACAAACCTATGTCCCCAGAGTGGCTATGGTCAGGGCACGGGGTCTGCAGTTCTGGAACTTTGGAACTTTGGGGGGCTCTAAAGTTCCAAAACTGCACAAACCTATGTCCCCAGAGTGGCTATAGTCAGGCAGTTTTGGAACTTTGGGCGGCCCCTAAAGTTCCAAAGTTCAAAAACTGCACAAACCTATGTCCCCAGTGGCATGGTCAGGGCATGGGGTCTGCAGTTTTGGAATTTTTGAACTTTGGAGCTTTGGGGGGGCCTCAATGTACAAACCTATTTAATTTCTCCAGGGTGGCTATGATCAGGTCATGGGGTCTGCGGTTTTTGAACTTTGGAACTTTGGGGGGGGGCCAAAGTTCCAAAACTGTACAAACCTGTGTCCCCAGAGTGGCTATGGTCAGGGCATGGGGTCCGCAGTTCCGGAACTTTGGAACTTTGGGGGGCCTCCAAGTTTCCAAAGTTACAAAACTGCATAGACCTAGGTCCCCAGAGTGGCTATGGTCAGTGCATGGGGTCTGCAGTTTTGGAACTTTGGGGTGCATTCCTTGAAGGCGCATCTAATTTTCACGTATTTTTATTTGCTTGAATTATTTGCATTGCTCGAATAGTAGAATCTAATCTGTTTTTTCAATCAGGCGGGTTTGTATGTAATTCTAATGTGCTTCGAGAGAGTGCGCGCTGCTTTTAAAATGAAAGCTTTGTATATAGTTTACGCGTTGCTTTCTTAAAGGTTGTTTTCTTAAACTCGCACCCCCAGCAAAACCCTCTCTCTAGAAGAAAGTCAGATTTTAATGAGAATTCAACTTACATAAAAATAGAAATAACTTTGCTTTGAACTAGAAACGAACATTGGAAGCTAAATTAAAACAATCAAAATCAATTTGGAAAAAACAGAACTAAACTAGATTTGTAAACAACTGAAGTTGAATTATTGCATAAGATTTAAACTAGCGGAAACTAATAGTTAATTACAAAATAGTTTGAAATATAGACTACTTATAAATTGACATACAACTATATAAATTAGAACTAACTTCGAGATAAGTTAAAAGCAAATTCGACTTAAATTAGATTTGGATTGGAATTAGGCTAAGATTGAATTAAGTTCTAATTGTTTCAAGTAGAATTTGACAAGAATTTATATAATTGACATAGAATTGCTTAACCTGCAGCTCGATTAGAAAACAGTTGCTGTAATCATGAATTAGAATTAGACTTGAGTGAGAATTACAACTAAAGCTGTAAAACATTTAAAAATAGGATTGTCTTAGATCTAAGTTTGCAGTTCATTGGGAATACAAGAAACTGCTACGTGTCAATGAAAATTTGGTTGTATTTGAATTCAAACCTAAGTCAACTTCCAATAAAAATTTACAGGTTTGTGCAAAAGCCCAAAGGACCAAAGCACAGACAAAACCAAAAACGCAAAAAACGTTGAGGAGAATGTTTGGTTCAGCCTCAAAAGATGTGTTTGGTTTTCATTGTGATTTTTTGGTTATGAAATCCCAAAACAAAAAACTTATTTTTGTGTTTTTGCAGGTTTATTGTACTAGAATACTGCCAAGAACAAAAAAACTGAATGTATTTTGTTTTTCTAATCATATACATTTTGTTGTACTCATAGCAAATCATCAAACAAACGAAAAATATTTTTTGGTTGTAGCCAGCCTTCTTTTAAACCGTGAAAACGCAAAAAGTACAAGGGTGTTTGGCCTTTTGTATTTCAAAGCCAAAAAATGAAAACATCTTTTGAGGCTGAGCCAAACATTCTCTTCAAGGTTGTTTTAGTTGTTTTGGTTTGTTGTTTTGTTGCTGGTTGTCATTGCAAAGTGCATTGATTTGATATCCAAAAATATGCATAAACCATTGTAAATACCATAAATTTGATGAAAGGTTTGTTTTTTGGGTGTACCTTATATATAAATACGTATATATCATTTGAGGGGGTATCATTCAAACAAATTGAGAACCACAAGCAAACCAGCGTGGCCCGAGCTAGGTTCATATGGCATACGGCATATGTACGTTCCCCACATTGACATCGACGTGTGGGGTTTTTGTTTCCGCTCCTCCTCCTCCTCCTCCTTCCTCCTCCTCCCTCCAATTGCCACCAACCAACCACCAACAAACTCACAGAGATTGTAGGACGCCAGGGCGCACATCCGACCCCTTGCAGAGCACCAAGTGCTGCGCCTGTCATGCAAAAGCCCGCCAGGGCGTACATCCGACCCCTTGCAGAGCACAAGTGCTGCGCCTGCCAAGCAAAAGGGCGTGCATCCGACACCTTGCACCAAGTGCTGCGCCTGCCACGCAAAAGCCACGGAGACCATAGGATGGCTTGCAGAGTACCAAGTGCTGCGCCTGCCACGCAAAAGCCACGGAGACCACAGGACGCCAGGGCGTACATCCGACCCCTTGCAGAGCAAGGAGCACCAGGGCGTAGGCGTAGGCAATTGGTTGGTGGCAGTTGGTTGGTGGCAATTGGTTGGTGGACGTTGGTTGGTGGACCACAACACCAGCACCAGCGCCGACACCCTTTCGAAAGCGCGCAGCCAGCTCATTCTTATTTGCAGTAAGAACCCATAGCCATCCCTATTTGGGGAATAGCAACGTATGATCCGGCACCGGCGCCCGCTGTCTCTACCACGCGCACTGCCAGCAAGCACCGGCACCCGCGCCAGCAACCTGTCTCCACCACGTGCACAGCCAGCTCACAGCACCAGCACCGGCACCCAGCACCAGCACCAGCAACCTGTCTCCACCACGCGCACAGCTAGCTCACAGCGCCAGCGCCCGGCACCCAGCACCAGCACCGGCACCAGCAACCTGTCTCCACCGCGTGCACAGCCAGCTCACAGCGCCAGCACCGGCGCCCGGCACCCAGCACCGGCACCGGCACCAGCAACCTGTCTCCACCACGTGCGCAGCCAGCTCACAGCACCAGCACCGGCACCCAGCACCACCAACCTGTCTCGAAAGCGCGCACGGGCAACTCATTGTTATTTGAAGTAAGAACACCATAGCGTCGCTATCTGGGGAATAAGTATTATACATACATACATACATACACATACATATTCCGTCCGCGGGCCTCTTGCGGACCTGCGCGGGTTCGCGGGCCAACACCCTGCGCGGGGCCGCGGGCTCGACACGGGCCCGCGGGCGAAACCCTCACACGAGGACCATGACTTGCAAGTTGGGCTCAGTCCAATCGCTGTAGTAGCTCTTCGATGGTGCTGCCTGCACATGTTTGGTTGAAAGGTTCCAGGCACCCAGGCACCAATCTTGGGCCGAAACCAGTGAAGTGCCAAGATGCAAAACCAAGAAGCATCAAGATCAACCAAACCTAGGGCACATGAGCAACAATCAAAAATCTGGGCCCTGGACAACCAACATTTGCACATAGCTTGTTTGATCTCCATGCGTTTTCAGGTAGGCCCAAATCAGGCAAGCCTTCAGAGGTCGCAGGCGCAGGCCGCAAGAGGCACTGCGTGGCAGCCATAAGTAAAGCCGAGCAAAGCGACCGCAAACACACCAAGATTTGTGCGTAGAGTGTGGCCCTCAAGACACCGGCCGTGAGTCACAGTCACTGTGTTCCTTTTCTAGCAGGACCGCAATGGTGATGAAGGGCAGGATTTCCTTGAAGCTCTCCAAACGCAATTATAAACCCAGCAAAGCTACGCAATGCTTAAAGGAGGCATAGCTGAACAAAATGGAAGCATCGTTTGCAAGCAGGGCCGTGCGGTGGGGTGGCCCATCACAGTTTGGGATAGATTTGTTCATTATTCATGTATTTTTGATTGGTTTCTTTGGCGTGTTGTTCCAGAGCACTGACGTGCGCTTTGCGGACAGACTGCGCGCCTAGGTTGGATTTGACGCCTTCCGAGGATGGGAAGAAGGCCTTGAAGGCATCTGCTCTTGGGCTCAGTTGGCCTTAGAGGTATACAGTTTCCGAAAGGTCTTACGAAGCACATCGCAGTCGCACATTTGTTCAAATGGTGCCCATGACCACTAGCTTTTCTGCAGCTAGCTGTAAGCCTGACCCGGCCAAACCGACAAGGGACGAAACTCCCCACCATTGCCGAAAGTGAAATGGCCACAATATTGGATCTCAAGCAGTTGTAACTCTAACTGTTGGCTGCCCTTCCTAGCCACCACTCTTGCCACAACGTTGTGGGCGTCGGTCTTGTTTGCAGAATTTGCATGCTCACACTTCAACAGGTGAACTCCGGACCTAAACTTCCCTCCTGAAGCAGAGATGCCAGGCGGTCCGCTTCTCTGTGAAGAGTGGACAGCGGGGGGCCAGAGTTTCTATCAGATATGGAATTGCTTTTGGCAAGGCATTTTGTCCCGTTGATCTCCTGAACACGTCTCCTTGCCGCTCAAGGTATGCTCCTCCAATGGATGCCCGAACAAGTGCAAAATTCTTCCAGGTCCGGAGCTGACGACGATGACTACTACTACTACTACTTCTTCTTCTTCTTCTTCTTCTACTTCTACTTCTACTACTTCTACTACCAGCAGGCCGCCTATTGCTGCATGATCTCAGCCCAGAGACAACTTTCACATTGCACTGAATCTCTTTTACGGGCTGAGCTTTTGACACCTAGAGTTTGGGGGCCGGCAACGTGGTTGCTTTGCACTTGCTTTGCCGATTTGGGATCAGCTCGCCGGTGGCTGCACCATGTTCTGAGTTCCTAAAAAATCGACGGCAATCTGAGGCCCGGCGGCGCTTCTACGAGTTAATGTATGAGCCACAGTGGCCTGGTTGAAGATGCAGAATATGGACACCTTTTTCGATCATAGAATCATAACTGGAAGTGGAACACAGCGGATATAGTATACATTGATGGCCAACGTACTTACTTTAGAGGATTTTGTTTAAATATTTTCCCTTCGCAAGCATGGTGGCAAAAGTATTCCTTCAACTCCCGCGCCACCAACATGTCAAAGATTAATTAGAGGCTCGGCAGTCGTGGGTGCGTGATTGTTCTTGGAAAGTTGCTTGCTGGAAGGCTTTGAAGTAACTGAACATGGAGAAACCAATCTGAAGCCCTAGGAAGAATTTTACGTTAAAAGCAAAGCGACAAAAGGACATGTGTTCTATCGCTTTGTGTGGGACACTAGGTGGCTTTTTGTCGACTGGCTGGGTGGGTACGGTGTTTTGATTCTTGTTATTGAATATTATTGGCGCAACTCGTTCCAAAGGCTTTGCTTGGAATTCATATATTTGGTTGAGTTTTGCGTAAACGATTTTAGGATGGTGTTTCATGTTTTTGTGTTTCGCACTTTTGGTTTCTTCTGTTGGCTTTTGGTGGCTTCTGTTGGCTTTTGACTGGCTTCTGTTTGCGTTTGCTTGGAATGATTCTGTTAGCTTTTGGTGTTGTTTTCTTCTTGTGTTTTTTGTTGGTGTTGTTTCTTCTTGTTGCTTTTTTGGCGGTGCTTTTCTTCTGGTGTTTATTTCCGCGGTGTGTGTTTTTTTTGCAGTGTTTCTTCTTCTGGGTGTTTTTCTTCTGGTGGTTTTTTTGACAGTGTTTTTTCTCCTGGTGTTTGCTTTTGCGGTGTTTTGTCTTTGGTGTTTTTTGTGTTGTGTATTTTTCTTCTGGTGTTTTTTGTTGTTTTTGTTTTACTTGTTGCGGTGGAGTTTGCGGTGGTTGTTTTCTTCTGGTTGTTTTTTGTGTTTTTTCTTATGGTGTTTTTTGTTGGTATATAGTTGTTTCATTGCGCTGGTTTTTATGCCCCTCTTGTTTTCTCTTATACTAGGTTGTGCCTTCTTTCTTGTGATTGTTAATTTCTGTGTTGGTGTCTTTTATTCTTATGAGTTTTTCGTGTAGACTTTTGTTGGCGCTGTTTGTTTTCGCTGCTGTGTTTTTTGGTTGCGTGGTTTTTCACCTGCTGTTTTTTTCTTGCGTGTATTCCTTATTGAAGCATGCATCGAACCCGCTAGACTTTGTTTATATTACAGCCCCTCCCCCGCACCCCCTCCCGCCTGTTACTTAACTGAAGGAGATCAAAACAATAGAGCGTCCCAGGAAGGGATCCAGGAAGCGACAAAGCCACCAACGAAGCCACTAACTTTGTTTTTTACCTTGCGGGGGAGGCGCTGCGCCCTCCCCGACACCCCCTCCCTCCCGCTTATTTTGAAGAAGATCTTAAAGAACAAAGCAACCCAGGAAGGCATACTATTTTGGAATGGCACCTTCCTCCTCTAGATCTGACCCGTGAACCGATATGACTTCGCATGCATGCTACATATCCACAAACTTCTATCGAACGCCGGAATCTATTCCACAGTGCGAAAGGATTGTATTCCAAGGTGGCATACCTTTTCTGAACCACGCGGAGGTTAAATTTCGACGAAATAGGTGCCAAGCACAGTTTTTGTGAGCCACGCAGGGGTCAAAGTTAATTAGAGGGGGAAGGTGCCATTCCAAAGCATGCCGTTTGTGAGCCACGCGGGGGTTAAGCCAAGCAATGAAGCAACCAACGAACCCCAACAACGAAGCCACTAAACTGACTTGGTTTACATTGCGGGGAGGCGCTATGCCCTCCCCCGCGCCCCCTCCCGCCTTTTTTTGAAGGAGATCAAAACAACAAAACAATCCAGGAAAGTATAATACATTGAATGGCACCTTCCTCTAAATTTGACCCGCGAAGCGATATGACTTCGCATGCATGCAACATATCCACAAACTTCTATCGAACACCGGAATTTATTCCACAGTGCGAAAGGATTGCGGTGTTCCAAAATGAGCCGAATAATGTGTTTCAGAGTGAGCCTAAACGGACTTTTTGTGTGTTCCAAAATGAGCCGAATCGCGTGTTCCAAAGTGAGCCTCCTCCGCTTTGTGGTGACTGCTGGTGCTGTATTCTTCCTCATTGAGTGCAGTTGTCAGCTGCCGTGGTTGATTGCTAGATTCTTGATCTATGCTCCGGGCCTTGGCCAATGCAGCGTGCGCGGTCCCTAAAGCCATGGCATCGTTCCTCTCAACCGCCCTCCCGCGCCACGAAATCTTTACTCAGTGTCACGATTCTGATTTTTTAGCGGAACACCTGTGTTTTTGGAAACTCCCCCTGTCACTTTGGCACTGAATTTCCTACGAAATATTTGTTTTGGAGGCTTACTGACTTACTGCATCAAGTGTCTATGACGCATCCCTCATGCGTCGGACCCGGGTGCAATACTCGGCGGACAGGTGGGCCACTACCCACCTGTGCTGCAGTAAAGGGGATGAACTGGGGTGCAGACTGTTAAAACACAGCAACTTTTGGAGAACGTCTTGGACGAAATGAGCGAAGGTGTCCACAGCAAGAGCTGAAAAAATCATTAAACCAATACGTAAAATTGTTTAAAAAGACCGGCGGCCGCTTTCACTTAGAGTGAGTTGATGCAATCAACACCGCCAGAATGCTCTAAAGCGAACATGTAGTAGTTAGTTTCTTTAAGATCCAAGGATCACGAAATATCAGGAAATTGACATGGCCTGCCGAGTGTGCAGTCTACCTGATGGAAATGAGCCTCCCCCCGCATCGGAAGTACTATAAGTCAAGTAAGCTGGCGCAGGGATTTGCACGGGTTTGTTTGGACGACTGGTTGCCGACCGTAGCCTTAGCTAGGCGGGCTGTTTTATTATCCAAGTGTTTTGTTTGTCAACTTTTGAAGCAAAGAAAGAATCCGGCGGGATTTTGGTCCAACACCCAAGGGACCGAGCAGGGCATGGACTCGAGTTCTACCCACCTTGGGCCAAGCATGGGTTCAAGACGAGGTTCATTTCCAACAAACATCTCCAATCATACCCCTTACAGGCACCAAGTGAGTGCATTATTCATAAAATATCATAAAACTCACCTAACACTGAAGGCAAAGGCGAAGTGATTCAAGGAGGACATCAAGGCTAGATCATCATTCTATAAGGACTTTCGATAAGGATTGGAGGAGAATGAGGGCCATTGTTGACACCATGTATATGTGTATATGTTTTTGTCTTTTATGGTGTGGTTTGTGCGAGGTGATGCATCAAAGACATGGACGTGCAAAATGGGAACGTTTCGACTTCATGATTTATGAGCAAGAGTCATCTAAAACCCTGCTGCCCTGCTACTATGTTTTTGTCATTTGGAGGGCGGGTAGTGCTATGAGCGTTTGGTGTCTTAGAATCAGCGACTGCTCGAAGATTCACACGCCACACGGATTTTCAATCACGTAAACAATCGTAAACAAATAGAAAAGGGGACACCATGTGAATTTTTTTCCGAATTAGGGCCAAAGAAAAGACAGCGTTTTGATGCTAAATGGGTCACATTAATAGGCCTGTGACAAAAATCGACTAAGCCTAAGCCGCTCAAAGAGCTTCAGGTTCCCAGTCTAATCCTGTCCACCTATTACGAACGGTGGACCTTGAAGTGACCTGGAAGTGCAGATTTCGTGGCAGGTGCAGTACTTGGTGGACCTTGAATATAGCCATGGTTAAAATATATGCAGATATAATTAACCGCGGCATGTTTGTAGGATTGGGGCAAGAGGATATCAACCTGCCCAGAGCCAGGCAGACAGCCAGGGACAGCCAGCGGAGAGTCAGCAACGCAACATGGTCGGTTTTGAGGGTGTATTGGGACCTTTTTGAAGGAGTTTTGGGGGAACCTAATTTTTAAAACAAGATGGAACCCACGAACCCGAATGCAAACACGATCGAAAAACTAATATGTCCAAAGGACACTCTTGTAGGACACTCTTGCGGGACACACTGTAGGACACTCTTGTGGGCCACTCTTGTAGGAAACTCTTGTGGGACACTCTTGTAGGACACTCTTGTGGGACACTCTTATAG